TGTGTGTGTGTGTGTGTGTGTGTGTGTGTGTGTGTGTGTGTGTGTGTGTGTGTGCGTGCGCCCAAATACAGATTTCTCATGCGCTAGACCCCATGATGAAAACCCGTGACATATGCATAAATATTCGAGAACCCAGCGCCACTAGGGATCGAACCCGTGACCTGAGGGGGACTTACAGTGAACCCTGCCAACCAACAGACCACGGCTTGCGACGCGCGCGGACACACACAGAGATATATATATATATTATTTATACAGGGTCAATACATAATTAGGGTGTAACAGGGTCAAGCTCTCATGAGAGGTGGCTCGAGGAGGGCTTGATAAGCGGCTCGTGAGTTGTGCTTGATGAGCTAACAAATCAAGCTTCAAGTTAGACTCATGAGCCAGTTCGTTTAAACGAATATTAATATAAAATATAATCAAAATACATTAGATTTTGAAAATTTTATCTTTAAAATTATTAAAATATCTTAAAAAATATATTTTGTATTTCTTTGTTATTTGTCTCAAACTGTTTGCACAGTTCTACTACAAAGGCGCACATGTGGGTAAAGAGAAAAGTGCCAAAGCTGCAATGCAAGAGAAAGGGCTAAAATTGAATCATCGGCATTCAGCGGCACAATGCTACGCCATACTCATGCTCCTCGCCGGCGCCGCCGTGCAGACCCGATCTGCCGGGCCGATAAAGACGGTGGTGATCGTTGTGATGGAGAACCGATCTTTCGACCACATGCTGGGGTGGATGAAGCAGCTGAACCCGGAGATCAACGGCGTTGATGGGACCGAGTGGAATCCAACTTCGACGGCCGATCCAAAAGCGTCCCGAGTCTACTTCAAGAATAGGGCACATTACCTGGACCCTGATCCCGGCCACTCTTTTCAGGCGATCCGGGAGCAGATCTTTGGATCTAATGAAACATCGGCATCGCCGGCGCCGATGAACGGATTCGTCCAGCAGTCGGAGTCGATGTCGGCCAACATTACGGGGGCGGTGATGAATGGGTTCCCACCGCAGATGGTGGCGGTCTATCAGGCGCTGGTATCGGAGTTCGCCGTCTTCGACCGGTGGTTTGCATCGGTGCCAGCGTCCACACAACCTAACCGCCTTTATGTGCATTCGGCTACCTCTCACGGAGCAACCAGCAACGATGCCCGGTAAATCAATCCATCTCCAGTTCTCTATATTATTCAGGGTTATTTGTTTGTTGTTTTCTTCTTTAATAAGTCAAGATTCAGCTGGTTGGATTGTCGTTTGAACTTTGAAGAAAATGATGGTGAGAAATTAAAGTTTTATTGGAATCATTGAATTTTGCGCTTCTATATGAGCTTCGTGTCCTGACGAGGGGTGTAGTTGGGCCGACCCGAATTTGACCCGACCCAAATAAGTTTGATAAGTGCCTACGGTTTGAAAATATCAACCCAAACCTGACCCGTCATCAACCCGCCAAACCAAGCCTGACATTTGTAACCCATTTGATATAATGAATAACTACTATTTGGGTTAGAATTGGAACAGTGAATGGCCAACTCAAGGTTTCAAATCACTTTCTGGTTGGTGGATCAACCCATACCTGACCTGAAAAATTAAACGGATTAGGATCTTTAACCGAACAAGCCGAAAATAATTTAGGTCAATCCGAACCCAAATTTTTTGATTTGGTTTTAGTCAAGATGACGTGTTGAGTCAATTTTTGACACCCATAGAATTCTAAACGAAGAAGATGGTGTTTGATGACAGACCTTTTGATCTCACTCACCGCTTTTATGGTGAAGGGGGCCGCATACAAAGCACACTATTTTATAACAAAGATTGATGCATATTCAAATAGAATGCTCGTATTCGAATCGAGACCAACTTTTGGTTGTACTCAGGGGTGTCAATGAGCAGAGTCCAGCACAAGCCATTCTCGGGTTGATTTTGAGCTTTGTTAACTAATCGAGTTTGAACTTAAGCTAAAGTCCACAAGTTCAAGTTGGCTCACAAGCCGACTTCTTTATCATAAAAAAAAAGAGTTTAGGCTATCGCTATAATGAATGAATAATAAAATTAGTAAGAGATGAATAATAAGAAATTAGTTTATATGAAATATAAAATATTATATTTTAATAATTTAAAGATAAAGACATGAAATTTAATATATTTTGACTTCATTTATATTAATATTTTTTTAAACAAGTCGGCTCACCAACTATGGGTTGAGTCGGAGCTAGGTTCAACTTGACTTTTTAGCTCATCAAGCTCAGCTCACGCGCTAGTTATCGAGCCGAGCCCGAGCTGGCTCACGAGTTAACTTGGATCACTTACACCCCTAGTAGCAATCCTCGGTTAGGGCAACAACTTTAGCTAAAAGACCATTGATTGTTTCAAATTTAATACTAATTTTAGCTCACATTAAAATTTGACTACGGATCAAAAACTTTTTCAAGAAAATTTGAAGTCATGCACGGATAAGTAGTTTGCATTGTCATGAGAAGGCGTTCATATTTTCTATGATACCACTTATTTGGTTCGAATGAGACGGTCAATCATTTGTGAGGCATATGCAATCAAAGGATTGAATACGTGGGTCTATTATTTCTATCGTAATTTCCTGACCTCTCTCCACCTATTCATCTCGTCTCGTGAGTCGTGATATAGCTTTAAAATTAAGTTTTTTTAATTATCGATATTACAAGTTTAGGTTTCTAATATATATATTTTTTGCAAGATTCTAATTTTATTAAGGTTTTAGTTAGTCATGCTTTTTTTTGTTATTTGCAGCTTCATGAATGCAAATTTTTTTTTTTTATTTCGAATTTTTGTTGTAATATAATAGTAGTCCATTTTCGACGAGGATGAGATATATTTTGAGTTATTTATTTAGCAATGATACTAAATAAATTTTTGTACATAAAAAAATATGATCGCACGAATCTCAAGGAAATTCAAGTGATCTTGCTGAGAAGATACCAAAGGACCGCAACGGGAGGGTCGAAAGATGAAAGCGTCGGATATCGTTTCATTCAGTTGGAATCATAGGCCGACTGAAGGAAAATGCGGTCTAACGAAGAAACATTATGTGCCTGATATGAGGGACAACAATATATAATCAACTCTTTCAATTTATTCTGGGATTCTTCACAAAAATTGTCAAGGGCGTCTCATAAAAAACTTTTACAAAAGTGGGGGGGGGGGGGGATACTTGAGCTTAAAATGTGTCTAGCATTCTTTTTGGAACATTTCCCTCTTTGTGTGACGAAGAGTTGGCTCCCTTTTTCCCTTTCGACATTCTCTACCTGAGTCGTTTCTTCCTGAAGCATTTTCTGCTTCGTCTTGTTGCGCGGGAAGCTCTTTCGAGGTAAGTTGACTCTGGCGCTCGTGTTCCCTAGGTCACGCATGCGGCAATTCCTCTCCTTCCCAATGGCTTCTCCCTTTGTGTGGCTCTGGTTGCGATGTTTCTTTTCTTTCGGCGTAGTCGAGCTTTGGGTTGGCCTCACCCTGGGTAGTTTCTCTGCTCTTCTCCCCTCTCTTCTGTGTCTATAAATGCGTGTGGAGAGCTTGGGGAGACTCTGTCGGAACTGCTTCTCGTGCCTGTGAGCATGGTGTTTGGGAAGTCTTGTGCTTTTCTTCTGTTGTTTTGCAAAAGCTTAGGCAAAGTACTTTCTCTTTTTCTTCTCTGTTCTCCCCTCTGCACAGAGGCTATGTGTTGTTTTCCTCTTTGCTCGTCAGGGAATACATGCATGTGAAAGTTTAATTGTTCGGTTGGTACATCATACTAAGGCTGCTTAATGTTTCTTTGGCCTCAGTTTAAATGCTGCATATTACTGGGCCTGTTTTAAATCCTCTATGATGTTTAACTGGACATGTAGACTTATCAACAAGGCATGGTTCAATTCTTATGCATGTGCAAGCTTTTTTCTTATGTTCCTATCACATCTATACCAGTGCATCGAAGTTTGAGGGTTATTTTAGCCTTCTGGGCTGTGTTTTTCCTTGCCGTGTTGATTTAACATTGAGGATTTTGGAAATTTTACTTTGGGGGTTTTGTTTTGTGTTTCTCTGTTGCCCCCCTTTGTTCGAAGCATATTCATGTGGCTTCCATTTAACTTTGAGGTTTTTGGAGGTTTGGCTTTGGCGCTCTTTTCGCTGCCTTTTATGTTCGGAATGCATATTCAGCTAGAATTTGGTTTTCTGAGACTTTATGGAATTTGATTTTGGGGCTCAGTTTTCCCCCCTGTGGCTGCCTTCCCTGTTCGAAATACTAGTGCAGCTGAAATATCAATTTTTTTTTAAACTTTGAAAAGGCTTATTTTAGGGGATTAGCTTTGTTCCTTGTTGCTCCCTCTGTTCGAAACACCTGCAGATGGTGATGTTTGATTTTGGGGCTTTTAGAAGCTTTGTTTTGGGGCCTTGTGTTACTCCTCCTGGTCATGAGCCTTTCTGTTGGTTGTTCTCTTATTTGTGTTTGGACTGGTGGCTTCCCTTTGCTGCTCCTACTCGAGAGCACCTGATTATTTTGTTTTTATCCCTGTCTGTTTGGGGCTCAGCTGACCCTCTTTGTTGTCCCTACCTGTGAGTCTGTTGGGTGTTTGTTTGGGGCTCAGCTGGCCCTCTTTGTTATCCCTGCCTGTGAGCCTGTTGGAGGTTGGCTAGGGATTGGTTGGCCCTGTTGGTTGTCCTTGCCCGTGAGCCTTGTTGGATGTTGGCTTGGTTTTGATCTGCTTTGTGGCCGCCCTTGCCTGTGAGCTTGTTGGTTGGTGGCTGCCTTTGCTCCCCTAGTCGTGGGCACCTGATTTGGTTATTTGTTCCCTGTTACCCCTAACGGAGAGCATCTGGTTGGTTTCCTCTTTGTGTTGGCTGTGTGGCTCCTCCTGCTGCCCCTACCCGAGAGTACTTGTTTGGGTTCCTTTGTGTTGTGTTGAGTTTATGCCTCTATGGAACTTTTGGTTTGAAGTTGAATTGAATGTGTTAATATTTGTGAAGTGGAATATTTCAATTCTTGTTGCTTGGAAGAATTCAAATAACCCTTTTCAAAGAACGATCTATTAAATATTGGGAGAGTGTCCATGGCTCAATCATTTGGGGGGAATTGATTTCAATATAAAAAAAAAGAGAAAAAAGAGATGAGAATTTCTTTTGGCATTTTTGAGGAAGGCTTGGGGGTGGCCTGAAATCCTCTATAATATATCTTTTTAGAGATGTGTTGGAGTTAGTATTGGGGAGCGTGCCCCATTTCATTGCTCAATCAAGGAGTCCCACCGGTTGAATATTTTATGCTAACCCTCCTACCGCTTTGACCTTCCTTTCTAAATTATTTTTGGAGGTGTGTTAGTTTTCCTTTTGCTTTTCTTGTTTTTCGATTCACTTTCCTTGCTTCTTGGTTTGGGTTTCAAGCGCTTATGTCTGAAACATAAGTGCACATATATAGCTGCAGTTATATATGAAACTATCAAGCAAGGTTGTAAGTTGAACAGTTTTTTGGAGTTTTAGGTCTTGATGATAAAGACATTTGGTGGTAGAGTGAAATAATATTCCATCCTACGACATCAGGACCCAATCCAGAGACCCGGTGAAATGTAGGATTTATTCAGCGGCACCAGACTAGCAGAGCACCATTGCCCTCTTAGGTTGTTGGTGGTCCTAGCCCGACAGTGCGATCGACTTGCGGACAATCACATCTTATAAAAAAAATGATAAGAACAGATAAGATAAGAACACATACACCATTTCAAAAAGTATTTTGACTAAAAAGATAGATATTGCTTTCTCTTATATGCAAAGAACCTATATGCATGCTAAAATATAAATTTTAAGTAATATAATTTGGTTGTCCACTTATCATTTGCCAGTACCGGGCTAAGGAGTACCCTCCTAAGTTGGTATAGTAGGACACCTTTCTAGTTGAATGTCGGGCTATATACATAAAGGGTGACCGATAGTAGCCTTCGGAGTCCCTCGAGAATACCTAAATCTGAGCCTAGCATATTCTGAATGCTTACAATTTTTTTTCTTTCTTCAAATTTTTGTGTGTTTTCCTAGGGTTTTATCAAAATCTTTCTAGAGCACTTGTGATTTTCTTCGAATTTTCCTCGTGGTTTCGACGGTTTTCTTCGAGTTAACTTGGGTCACCTGCCGCTTTTTCTTGAGCCTTTTTAGGAGCCGCCGACCCGTCAGG